AGATTTACAGCTCTGAGCTCTGACCCGGTTTCTGTCAGAATGGGTCAGTGTGAAACAGAACCACCTAAAGGCACAAACTCTCAGCTTCTGGACTTTTTATTCATTAACATAACTTGATGGTTAAAGGGAAGTTCTGCAGAACTCAACTGGTTCTGGTGCTGAGGAAACATTCAGTCTGAATGATGCGTTCAAGGACAAACAATCAGGTCTGTAAATTTATTTTAGTTGTAAATAAATAAAAACATAAAACAAGTAAAAAACAACAACAACATTTCGTTCAATTGAAAAAGCTGTTTGCTGTCCGTCTCACACTTCAGTTTAGTTAGTAGTCAAGAAAAATACTGTCAGTATTTAAAACATATCATTAAATTAAACAGAAAAAAATATTTTACAAACAAAAATAATGTAAACATATAAAAATTAAAGTTAACTTTAAAAAATTTTTTTGAATATTTTTAGATTTTAATTTTCTCTTCTATAACGTTCCAGTTCTCATGTTTTGGATCAGTCTTTTTACGCTTTTTGGATAATTTAGTGTTTATTTTATAAGAAATTTCGTTAAACTGATTTGAATGGATTTAAATWAAATTCAAATGAATTTTATTAAAAATGCATTAGTTTTGTTTAAAGGACAACTATTCTGATGTATTTTGTTTCTTTAATTAAATAACTTAAATTAAGATAAAGTAATTTATCAGATGAACTTCCTGTTCRTGGTACAGATTAACCAACATCATACAGTTTATTAACTACATGGCTGTGTCTAAATTCAGGGGCTGCTTCCTTTCAAGTCCATATCTGACAAAACCCTTGAAAATGAGTAWCCTTCCTGGGCGAGGATATCCCATTCATTGCACCGTCAGCAAACTAAACAGACAAAAAAAGATGGTGGAGTTTTTTTTTTCTTTTACCAAGTCAGCAGAGTTTGGAAATTCATCATGAACCAAAGAATTAGTGTTTAAATCTAAGTTTAGTAACTTAGTTGATTACATTTTTACTGCAATGAGATGTTAAATAAAGTAAAATTACAAGTACTAACACTATAGCTAAACCCAAATAATTAATGTTTTTTATGTGTAACATTTTTAATTGTGAAGTAGGGCTGCCACAAACAATTATTTTAATAATCGATTAATCACCGATTGTTTATTCGATTAGTCGACTAATCGGATCATACGTTAATTGAATATAAAACATAGAGCTTATCACACCAGAATGCAGCTGCTATTATATAACCATGGTTAGATTTTAGCTATATGCTAACTAAAAATAATWGCTGTGGAAGGTAAGTTCTGCTCTGCAGATATTACACAGGTTTCTCTTTCATTTTCTTMAAATGATCCCACACTTTGAGCTCTGTTGTCAGGTAGCCATGATACCAGAGCCTGTCTGTATAATGTCTTGTGACGTCCACGGCCTACCCCAGTTAGCACTACTGTTCATGTGTGTCAAGGACAGAAAGGCAGATGTGGCAGTGGAAGGTGTCAAAGCAGTTTGGAGAGAAAAACAAAGTAAAGAACAACAACAAAAAGAAAAYGATTAATMGATTATTAAATTAGTCATCGATTATTTTAATAATTGATTAGTCGTCGATTAATCGATTAATCGTGGCAGCTCTATTGTGAAGTTACCCCTCCAGTGAAAAGACGTGAGTACATGTCCCTATGTTGTCTGAAGACACGTGATAAAACATGCATCATCCTGGTAACAGAGCCCCTGAAATAAGACACAGCCGAGGCGCCACGCACACTTTAGAAGATTGACCGCTGTGGTACAAGCGAGACGCCATATTGGAAGGGGCGGTCTGTTAATATAAACAAATTATTATGGCTACATTTCTGTGTAGAATTACATATAAATAATGTTTTGTCATTGGTTYGCTTCTGCCTGTGAGAAACATCCTTCAGTTGTCCTTGTCCCAAACAATATGGACGCTTCCTCTGGCCAAGAAAAGTCAAGTGGTAGTGCCTCTCATCAGTACACCTCATTGAGATGTACATCCATTACAAATGGACTTCCTGTTTGTGGTGACAGGTTTAGAGTTGTTCAGTTTCAGCTCAGTTTGTTTGTTAGTTTAATAAAAAGCAGCAGAAACGTTTTTAGTTAAAAACAGAAACTTAACGTATATCAGCTCAGGAAGCCGGAGCTGAGATCGGTTTATTGCTGAGTTGACGCTCGTCCATCGGATCCATCAGCTGGTTCAGATTCAGAATCCCAACGTGATCAGCTTTAACCAGCTGAGTCTTAAACAGCTGCGTCACGTCATCTCATCTCTAAACTAAAGCAGTAGTTCGAAGCAGTTCTTAAAAACAACCGTACAGTTTAAACTCAGATGGACTCTGGCAGCTGTGTGACATGTCAAGTTTTTATTGCCCAACTTTAGCTCTTAAACCACTGATGAGTTACTGAACAGCTGATAAATAAAATCAAACTATAATCCTGAATGAATTGGTCTTTAAACCTAAGGTTGTATTTTACAGGTAATGTTTTTTTAAACAACAAAAAAGTAAATAAAAACAAAAACAGTTTTATTAGCTGCAAATTTTGCATGAATAAAGTTGGTTTTGTTTTTACATTTTAACAAATTTTACGTCAAATCTTTTTTTAAATTAAGCTCCTCCCCCAAAAAGCCACTCTGCTCTGATTGGCACGCCCTGGTAGTGTGATCAGGCTCCACCCACTCATTTTATTGTTTTAGTAACTGATATTTAGATTCCAGTGTTTGTCGCTAGCGAGTTTTTAGTCCCTTCTAGTGACCTTTTTTTTTTTTTCAAAAAGCGACTAGCGACAAATCTAGCGATATTTCCCAGAGTTCGTGGATACTTTTGAAGGCTTTGGCGACTGCATTTTGCGACACTTTCCTCAGCGAGCAGCGAGTGGTGCGGGGAGCCCCTCCCCCTTTCTGAGGGGGCCTGCCTTGTGCGGCACCCCCGGCTGCAGTCAGCCGAGAGGAAACCGCTGCAAATGGATCATGTGTGCTCAAAACTGCCGCTGCTCTTGCCTGGTTTACAAAGAGGGATGTAATTTTTACTGTAATGGTTTTTTCACTGATACTGTCTCTCTAATATAAATCCCTGGGCCTGGCTGAATTTGACTCACAGCCTCAGTCACTTCACCTCCTAAACCCTGTGAGTCTCTGTGACATCGAACAGTCTGCAGATTAAATTTAAGGTTCTCACAAAATTTATTTATGTAATGTGGATCTAAGCATTAAAGTCATATAATTATTATTTAATTAAGTTCATTTGCAWTTCTAAACATATTTAGTGTTTTTCCTCACTTTTTTTTCCTTTAACGTCGATATACATCTCTCCTATAGCTTAGATCACAATTATTGGCAAACGTCCAAACATGTAAATTAGGTGATGACGTCATCATCAAATGACTTCTGGCAGATTTTCGGACAGCCAGTGGCTACTTTTCTTACTGAGGAGTTGGCAACAGTGTTAGATTTAGATCTTCTGTTATTAAGTTTTCTGATTAAAATTGCTTTATGTCTTGGGACTTAAGATGATTTTCTGTAACTTTTACATAATTTAATATTCAAAATTTTACATCCTTCTTTTTAAATGTATGTAATTTTCAACATTTTACAGTTTAAAGGGGGGTATTATGTAATTTTTAAGCACATAGTTCAATTCTATACCACAGTCAAGTAACTATGTTAGCTTCAGTTATTATGAAAAAGCTATTATATCAAAAATAAATTTGACTTTGCATCATAGTCTATCTAAACTCTTTGAAATTGGCCACTGTCTCTTTAAGAACCACCCACTGTTTCAGATACTCCCACTTCAGCACGTCTTCACAACAATGCTTCGTGGGAGGGGTGCTCTGTGGGTTGGGAGCATGGCTGGGGACTGAACACCAGGGAGGAGCTGTGTACAAATGGGCAGTGCTTTGTTCCAGCAAGTGTTTAGGCAGCTCCATGTGGCTCCACAGAAGGTTCAAGCCCAAGCAACACTGGGTATGTTTTTAATCAGYGAAWGACATTATAACATGATATAAAGCTCAAAATAGTCCATTTTGCATAATACCTCCCTTTAAAGGTTTAAAATGTTCAAAAAGTAGTAGTTAGTTTATTTTTGTAAAGAATGATAAAACAGGCTAATAAATCATATTTCATGAGTTTAGTTTGAATAAAGCAACTCAAGCTGAATCGGCTGGGGTTGATAAAAAATATCGAATTAAATCTAAAAATATTTGTTACATAAAAATTGGAAGAAAATGAACTTTAAGCACTTAAACCAGCTGCTTTTTACTCTCAACTCATTTATTAGAGTGAAACAATACATCTATGTGAAAAGCCCCGCCCCTTTTTCAGAGCATTCTAATGGTGCGTTCACACCGAACGCAATTTCAGCATCAGGAGCCTCAGRTTTACATACAAAGTCTATGGTGGASGCGCTTCAAGCAGTGTCAGGAAGTTCTGCGGCGCCTCAAGCGCGATTAGAGCAGCGCGATTTGAACGATTTGAACGATCTGAGCGTTCGACGCGCTGAGGCACAAATCACTGAAGTTGGAAAATCTGAACTTTTGCAGCTCGACGCGCCGTATCAACCAATCAGAGAGACTCCACTGTGTGACGTGGCGACATATTTCCCGACGGGACAGTTTACTGAATGATGTCCACTAACCTGAAACAGATGGAGAGGAGCTCTTTAGCTGAAAT